TAGTTTATAGATAGCCGGGACGGATAAGAGAGAAACGGTACGGCCCCATGGAGTTCGTTATTGCGCGATTATCGCTGTTACCGGCCTAATCTCACCGCGGCAGCAACCCCGCAGCAGCAGCAACAGCGGCAGCAACGGCGGCAGCAACGGCTTTTGCACTTAGCACTTACGTGGCGGCCGGTATTATGTGGCAATAACGAGCGACCCCCATCACGTAACCCCACTTAAGTGCCAAGTCGCCGCCGCGCCGTATCGAAAAAGGGCGCAAGGGCGGGAGGAAAGGGGGGCGGAAAAAAATGAAAAGAGCGCCGCGACCTCCACCCATCGTTGGACGACGGTTAACTCCTTTACCTTTGCCCCCCCCCCCCCCACTTGCTCGGCACTCGTGTTTAACCGCGAACACCGGCGGGGCTAATAGAAAGTATACACCACCGCGTGGCTCCCTGCGTACATCCCCCTTTTATTAATATCGATGTTTCGTGCGATGCCAACATTAATCGCGTAATCGGGCCTCGCTTCGGTTCGAGTGCACGCGGTGGCTGAGGAGAAGACTCTTGGGCTCTGCTATCACGCGAGTTTGATCGCGAGCGCGGCTTTTAAGGGCTTCCTCGAGGGGACGGGATCGCGTCTCACTCGATATTGCAATTTCGCGAAATCACGGCGGGTCGTGAATATAGAATACCGATTGCCTCGGCTCGTTCTCTTGGGCCGCGCGCAGAAGTTAATTAGAAACTTACAGCGAATATCTCGTGTACGCGAAGTAGGTGGAACGCGGGGAATACCCGCGCGTCGCAAACACGACAAATTTGTGCCCGATCGTCACAATTTGTATTTTCTTAAAGCCTCGCTCGTAATGTTTCAACTGTTGCACAACGTGGGAGCGGCTGCAGCGTGGCGTACTGGGAAACGTATTAAGGATACGGCAGCAAGGAGACGTCGCATAACTTGGAATTATCACTGTACATAATTGCTCGTGCGAGCGAGCAACTTAGCGGTACACCAGTCCCGAGATATGGCGGCATACCATCTTAAATAGCCTGGCACTTTATAGATGTCTGTTAATAAACTTCATTATACCGCTGCACTTAATTGATTAACGAGAAATTACGGGTCGGTCCTGTATGCAGGAAACGAGGGTACGGCGGGCGTGCCCTATAGGGAATAGCTCGGCCTAGTGGGGCTTGAAAAAAAAAACGAAATGAAAGCGCGTTAATTAAATCCACAATGTAATCTCGTTTCCATGGCGGTCGCCTTTTATTTTCCTCGTTGCGTTTTTCCTCGCGTCGCATAAACGCGCCGTTTTCAACGTGAAAGCGAAACGTCACGAAAATGCGCGGCTGCGGGGTCTGATTGCGGTTCGCACTTTCTACCTGATTGTTATGCGGAACGAAATACAGAGGGGAGCAATTGAACTTTTAATATCGCCCGCGATTTTTAACTCGCCGAACGCACGGCGGGACGGGAGCGGTCTAATCTTGCCGCGATTATTTTCTAATGGGGAGGGATCGTATCCTCGCGCAATGAGAGTCTTGGCATTCCCCGGGGATTAACGGCAACGTAAGATCGAATGCCGGCAATATCGGCAAACAGTTTCCCGCTATTAAGGCTCTCCCGCTATGACTTCGCCACGATCTAACCGACGCTCGGGCTGGGAGTAAACTTCCGGTATTTTTGCGCGAGTACACGCGTACCCGCCTGTAATCTCCACGCCCTTTAATTATCTGCAGCTTGACGCCGAGTAGTTACGGCGAATAGTAACGTTGTCATTATAACTACGAAGAGCAAACGAGGCTACCGTGCCTCTTTTTCCTCTTTCTCTTTATCCCCTCGTCTTCTTCTTCCTCCTCCTCCTCCTTCTCCTCCTCCTCTTCCTCCTCCTCTTCTTCTTCTTCATCTTCTTCTTTCGACCCTCGCGTCTTCTTCACCTCTCATGACGATACAGAGGTCGTGGCGTTTTAAATGCTGCGAGAGTCATTGTCCAGCGCCCGGTTCAAGATCCGTTCTGCGAAACGCACGATACCCAAGTCACCGCTCCTTCGCGAGCAAGTCGCCGCGATTGCACGCTACACCAAAGCGCAAGTTTCGGACGCTCGAATTTTTAATCCGCCGTGACGCTGAGACGTCGCGCGAACTCGTGCTTTGAAAAGTCATCTTCCGATGAGATTCGAATGGCAGATAATCCCACCGTACGACCTCACCTAGATCCATTACTTTATCAGCGGCAATAAAACCGTCGCCTCGCTCAGATCCTAGCTGTAAAGTGGTATTAAGTACCAGCTTTGAGTAATCTCGGCGAGACTCAACAAGAAGCCTATTCGTACGACTCCCGGGGTCCTTTGTTCGCGACTGGATGCTGCGGGATCGCCGCGATTTTACGAGCCGGCCGACGATACTGGTCAGACGACCGTTTCTTACAGTACCTATCGTAACTAAATGCACCGTGGATATGTCACGTGGAAGCCGTGACGGGCGTAGAGTACTGTCGTTGAAACAATGAGGACAGGTAGATGCGTCACGATCCAAGCCGATCTCTCCCATCGAAGGACCGGGCGGGCCCGTGGGCGTCCTGGCGTTCTAATAGCTTTTAATGCTCCGCCAACGTGATTTAGGTGTGCACCGCTGGCCCCCGATTTCGCACAAAGGATCTCGACGGTGCACTGACCGTCCTTTCGAGAGGCGAGACCCAGACTGGCTCGGCGGCAGCGCCCTTGAAATTCCTACCGCGAATACCTGCGGCTGCAACTTTCGGCCGCGCGCGTGCATAAAGAAAGATAAAGCTCTGTAAAATGAGCGTAACTTTTTTCTTCGCCTCCGCGACGCGACAACCGCCGCGCCGCCCGCGCGACGGATTTTACGCGGCGCGCATCCGTAATTCTCCCCGCAGATCGCAGCTTAGATTTGTGCGAATTTTTTTAAGGGTTTTACGAAATGCACGAGTGCGACCGAGCGGACTTTCTTTACCCTCTCTTCCCCCCCCCCCCTCGGGTTTTTAACCGGCCGAACCGTCATCCCCCTCTGTCTCGCCCGCTGATCGGCCGGGAACCAGCTCTACCACGAAACTGTCACGTCGAATCGCGTTTGAGAAGGGTTTCATCTTTCTACGAATCTCACTTATATTTTTTATCATCAACCTTTCAATTTGTATAGAGTCCGCCATCGAGTCGAGCGAGAATCAAACGGGCGGATTAAAAATGGAATGGGAGGGAAATGGAAAATCGTAAAAAAAAAAAGAATTCGTTTTCTAAAACGATATACGCGTATTTTCTGAAACAATATACATTTGACCGTCCGAATTTTCGGCGGTCGGGAAAGGACCGTTTGACCTTTCCCGCCTCGGATTTACGGTTCGCGTAAGCCCAGCTCCGCAATTGCATCTCGCTGTATCTTTGATACCGCGCACCTCGTGTGGTCCACCGACATATAGATGGCCCGCGCGTCCACCCACTGATACGCACGAGTCTCTCTCCGGGTCTCGTGTTACAGACGACTCTTTCCCAAAAGGAGCAACGGCACGCGGATACACGGGCGTCCACCTCTTAGGCTCTGTATGCAAATTTTCTTGCCTCCTAGCCGGGCACCGTCAGACGTCGGGAATATGAATCACGCTGCGCGATGAGAGGCCGCTGCCTCATAACAGGAAATCCGTCCCCGTGCGCGATCCTGCAGATTCGAACAAAGCCCGATGCGTTCCCCTTTAGCCCGCCCTTCAGCTTTTTCATCGATCGGGCCGCGCGGCCCACGCGCGCAAAGGAAGCCCCCAGGCTTTCGAAACGTGGGAATTAATATCGGACGCGAAAGGATTTCAATTAATAATTTCAATAGTGCAAAGGACGAGCCTCTCCCTTTCTCCCTCCCTCCACCCGCCCTCTTTCTCGGTCTGTGCGAGTCATTAATAATTTTTACAGCTGAAATTCATTCTCGAGAAACAATCTAAAACTTTGATCTCGAAGCGATCCCCGAGCTGGTGTCTCGTAAAGAACCATCTGTATTCAAACGGGCGTGTAAAGCGAAAATAATACCGACACTAACGATAATCGAAACGTACAAGTTCATATTTTATTATCTCGACGGTGACACTTGGAGCGGCACTGACGTCACTCTTCGGAGATGACCAAATCGAGGAGCCTTAAACTCGCATTTTACTTTGGTGCACCAATCCAGGAACTTATCCGGGACCTTTCCATCGGGAAGGTTGGCGCGTGGGTGGATCGATAAATCGACATATGCATTTACCCTTGCGAAGATGTGAGAATAACACACGTAAACATGTCCGTGCTTCCGAATCGCGCTTTAGAGAAAACTCTTGAACTCGTAAGGGACGCGATCGTCAATCGTGTGTTTAACGGCGGACCTGGCCCCAGCGAGTCGTCTCCTAAATCTGCCTCCATTCACAGCAGTATTTAGAGTACGCCTAATGACGCACTCCAACCGCAAATTTGCATTTGTGGTATCCTTTGCGACGACGGACGGCACAATAAGACGAACGGCAGCTCGCGGTAGCCGCGACGGAATGAGCCGACATTTATCAGCACGTAACGAAGACGGTCACGCGACCTCGTGATTCACGGATAATGACCGCGACGGAGGCCGCATAGATGCCCCTCTCCCCTCACTCCCGTCGATATATGACGTCTAACGTCGTTTTCACTTCCCATGTAGAAAACCGTCGTTTCCTCCGCAACGCTCCCGTCGCCGGGGGAAAAAATGGCAGGTGCAATTAGATCGATATTATAGGAAAATTAGTAGCACGTAAGGACGGACGTGCGTGCGTGCGTGATCGATCGAGTCGATCGCAAAAACCCCGCGTACGTTTCTTCTTCTCGTAAGACGCCGTCGGAAGATCGACGTTATCTCCCCGCGTGGCGCAAGGTTTTTTTTCCCCTCGCGCTAGTGATTTGACGTTTCTTATTCATAAATCTGGAAAATATGTTGCGGAATAGTTTTGTGATTCTGAAAAAAAAAATGTATAATAATTCTTTGAATAATCTCCTTCCGTTTAGTTACGAGACGAAACTTTGCAACTCTTGGAATAATTTTCTCTCCGCCAAGTTATGTTGAGATAAAACTACGAGACAAGCTCCAAAGTGTGCAGGTAATTCATGAGAACTGCAGAAGTTTCGGTAAATTATTATTACGCGGTTCGGGATATCTTCGAGTGTACATCAAGACGCGATCGACGGCCTGCCTCATCGCGCGGGAGCGACGAACACTCGTGTGTGATGGTGCGACGTGACACGAAGAATCTCGACGGATCGAAATTATCCGCGGCGTCCTCGAGCGAAACTCCGGGGAGGGAACTCTGACTCGTCGAGGAAAACGTGAGATTTCGATGGCGAGATAGAAATATCTCCAGTCAATTTGCATTGGGCATTGCAATTACTCCAGATGGAGGTTTATCCTACGAAACCCGGAGAAACCGTGGAAATGCTACCTTAGTGAACCTGTCGCCGAAACTACTCTAGAGACGATCGATAAGAACGAGCGGTAACGAGATAAATTTAGTCGGTTGAGACTGGTGGAGGAGAAGAGCTTCTGCGAAGATGGACGCTCTGGAGCTACAAGCCGCCCTGGTGAAGCTGGACCCGGCCACCACGGTGACGCCGATCGGCACCACCGTAAAACTGATGCCTCATCATCGCGTCGCCTTCACCGTAAATATCGACGACGAGGGCGAGATGACGCTGGAGGACCCGACGCGGAACGACGACGACGAGAAGTCGCTGACCGAGACGGCGACATCGGTGTCGAGGAAGACGCCAGGTAACTGCGCGGCCGGCCTGACGACGGGCCATCAGGGTCATCACCAGGGCGGCGGTCAGCAGATGGGTGTCTCCAAGTGCGGCATCGTCGAGGTCAGGTGACGCCAGCCACCTTGCTACGGCGTCAACATGATTTACCACACTTACCCGCCGCACCGAGGCAGCAAGCACCATGCCAAGCATCACGCCAAGGAGAAGAGACACCATCATCATCATACTATGCACCATCAGCATCACAGAGCTCATGTGGTAAGTCGTCGCGTTAAGCGCGCATTGTCGCGGACAAAGAGACGACGACGACGACGACGACGATGATGATGACGTCGCTGTCGTGAGCGTGCGAAGAGATTCCCCTATTGTCCGTACTCGCAAGGCCGTTTGATTGTTTCACGCTACTACGCGCGAATTCGAAAGTCCGCCTTGTTAATTTTAACACGATGGGTAAGACAGGTTGACCTCTCGCTATACCTTTCGCTGAAAGATTGATCGGCTTCTCTCGCATTAACGGGACGAAAAATAAAGAAGCGCCGCGCCGCGAGAACAAGAAGTTTCCACGTTGCAGTTCGTTAATAAAAAATTCTATTCTTCAACAATTTCGCGCTGTACCGTCCAAGCGCTACGAAAGCATTTCGAGTGTCTTCCACGAAATTCGAAACTCGTCCGAAAGCTTTTATAGAATTCAATAAGAGATGGAAGCGTGTCGTGGTAACCTCGTATTTCTGCGGGGCCCCTCGAGCAGCTTAACTCGCCGGCACTTGTATAATGCATTTCGTTCAACCGCGTTCTCGCTACAAAACACGCGAACGTATCTGAAAAGATATTACACTCCGCATTCCCGTGGTAACAAAGCACAAATACTTTGCAGCGCGAATGATAGATGCACAATGGACTAAATAAAGTGATTAAATTTCAAGTGGGGGGTAGGAAAGGCCAATGCGAGTCTTAGTCTTTAAAATATTGTAGTTATGGACAATTTAATAATAAAGTACAAATGTTTCGATCCACTCCGGGTCGTCTCTTCGGTGTAGAGAAATAACGAAAAATAACAAAAGGATTTCAACGCGATTAAAATCACCTCCGAAATAATTTCGAAAGGCCGTGTCCAAGTTTTTTTTTTATTACCAATCCAATTAGAAATCCGAAACGGCATAATATTTATTATCGAAAGTTCCACTTGCGGCCGGCCGAAAGCGCCCGCGTCTACAATTTAATTAAAATTGATAGTCCACGCATGTCGAGAGATTGCAAATTAAATTTGTATACTCGTGTTTCGAGCGAAATTAAAATCGAGATTAAAACTGGCTAAATTGCGCATCAAAATTAATACTTAAGTAGACGTCCGCGTAGTTACATTAATATAGGAGCCGCGCTGCTGCTCATCTCGCAGTGGCGTTATTGCGAATTAAGTATTCCGCATGGCCTGTTCAGGACGCCGTATCGGACGCTCTTTATCCATTGAACATTGCCCATTGTGCGTGTCGTGCTCGTGCAGCGAGCCGTGCGTTTCCTTTATGAATTTTTCTCGCGCAACGGTTCCTCGCAGTGACGAATGTGTATCACCGAGTCAGCGGACAATGCGACACGCTCTGGCTGGCGTTCTGTTCTCTGGCTTCTCGCACACGTTCCCGCTCACCGTGTCCGTAGTACACGCGGACGGGCGCGTTCCGTGACGGAACACATACGGTATATACCGGGCGTCTCTCGTGTCTGGCCGACGTAAGGAGCCGTTCGCGCGCCGCAGCCACTTTATTTTCCTAGCGGTAGTTTCGCGGGGAGATAATTAACGAGCTCGCGAGAGCGATCGACCGCGCGTTAATTTGGCCCCCACGTACGCCTACCGAGCGTACGGTAGATTTGCATGTTGACTTTTAACGGGGTTTTTTTTTTTCGACTGGCGCGCGTCTACGAGAGAAAAGCGCATTTTCTGAGGACCGCGAGGCCGGGAAAAGGACGCGCGTGCGAAATGAGAGAAATTCCAGCCGCGGTAAAGGAAAAAAAAAAGAATGGGAAGAACGTTGATTTTATTTTATTAAAACGTCACACAAATTACGCGCAAATTCGCGCTTGAGATCCTGTTAAATGCCCATTCACTAATTTGCACTGCGAATCCCGAAAAAGTGTTTTAACTACGCCAGTCTGTTTGTTCCGAGAACAACCGCTTCGTGCCGCCGGGTGACTCGCGTTCGTGACAAAGTACGAAGGACCCACTGTAATTGCACCTTCGTGAAGGGGGTCGATCCAGGCGGGTTCGTCCAGGGTGAATTGATGTCTCCTCGCGCGGAGATGCTCGTTCCACGTGTGGACGTGATCTCGAGTGCACGCGTGCGTTTGTGTGTGTGTATACACCTTGGCGAACGTGTACCCGCAGCTGCACTTAAGCGGGACATAATAGGCCTATCGCGAGCCACTTGTCTACTTCAGACCATTGCCCGCGGGCCGCGGCGACCGACGTTAATAGACGCGTTTGCGGGACCACGAGAGGATGCGCGACTCCGTACGAAGTGATAATCGGCGCGTCGCGTCGCGGCTCGCCGCCGAGTCTTATTTAGATAATTGCCGTTCTCCGAGTTTGGATAACGTCAACTTGGTTCGCGGTGCATTCATTGTCCCACGGCCCGGCATACAGCTTCACGTGTCGCTTATATTTGATCGTCCCGCGGCTTCCGCCGAGGACTCGCTGAACCGACGTACCGAATTGACAAGACAAACATCTCGTCCGGCCCGACGTCTGCGCGCCGCGCCGCCGTGATCTTCGCAATTCGCATAATCGGCGCGACCACGCGATTTAACGCTACGCCGCGTCCCGACCGCGTGCGGCATGTAAATCGCGCACGTCAAGAGAGCGAGAGAGAGAAAGAGAGCTAGCTACCCTTCGTTAGCTTCGCAGGAGAGCGCGCGGGACTTTTCCCTCTCGAAACACAATCGTCCGGTATCCAGCTATCGAGCGGGCTCCGCTGGCGCTGGTATTGAATTCTCGAGTGGGAGGAAATGCGCTGCGAGCGCATCTCGCGTGTGTACATATTCACAAATGGGAGGCACGTTTCTGCGTACATGCACGTACGTACGTACGTACGTACGTAGCATATCCTCCCCTGAGTCACACGCCGGGGGCTCCGTCAACGACGAGGTTCGGCATATGTACCGGACGGGTAGATCGATAATGTTGGGCCACGTAACTAGGACGCCGGTCTCCGTCGCGCTCCGAATATCTCCCGCGGCGATATATGCACGAGCATATATTTGCGTATACGTGTGCCCCGCGCGTGCGTGCACACACCCGCGGACTTTTATTTCACCTTGCCCGTAACGTACAATATGTTAGAGAAATAGCTATAAATCTCGCCGCGGATAACTTTATAGTCGGATTTATGGTTATCCCGCGCGACGGGCTGGAATTGTAATTGTACGCTGTTTTTCGCAACGACGAGCCAAATCGCGCCACGCCGTTGTTTCGCGGTAACGAGCGTCGGGCTCGCATTCGCGAACCCCGTCGTGCATCATTTTACTTGTTCACAGTTCGAGCTTGAGCATCTTTATTGTATCTGCGTGCATTTTATCCTGCCTGATCACAGGTCTCTCTATCTCTCTCTTTGTTGGCGCAGGAAGAAAAGGCCCGGCGACCGTCGCCAGGGTCAGACTTTCAATTAAAGTTTAAGTCAGATCTTAACGAGGCTTAAGAGAGCCGGCGCGTACACGTGCTTACACGCAGGTCGAAGACTTAAGCCGGCTCGGCCCGCGTCCGCGTCGTTTGCCCGAAGGGATGAACTTGCTTGGGCTTCCGTTGCGACCGCTCGGTGATACGCGAACGACATTTGACCGTATAATCGGGGAATCAGTCGATTTACACATTTCACGCTGGCGCTCTCGTGAAAATCCCAGGCGAAGGAATCTCGCCGAGTGGCGCGCGTATACGGACGACTGTCGAGCTGCGATTCAATACATTACGCCCGGCATCGAGACTCGTCTCGCCGCGATAAAGTGTTTAACTCGTTCCGCCGCAATTGCCGTCGATTCGCGTAATTACGCGCCGTAATTACAAAACAGAAGCGAATGTTATTATCGCAATAACGGTGCTACGAATGCAGGAGAGCTAATCGAATGAAGGTACAACGAATTTCTTTGTAACGTATTATTACAATGTGATCGTTATATTTGCCTATCGATTTTAACGTTCGCGGCAGCGCGATATGGAGAATTCCTCGTTATTTAGAGTTGATCACGTTGAACCTCGGTCGCGCGCTGGAAAGAGATAATGCACGACACAATGACGGACAACAATGTCTTTTTTCCAAGAAAGTCCCTGTTTGCCTCCTTTCACTGGAGGACAATCGAGTTTTCTGCCTCTCCGTCACTCTATCCCGCTTTTCCTCGCTTCCGCGGAATACATTTATAATAAATATTTTCTTGCCGCGAGTCTGACGCAGGACCCGAGATCCTCCCAGCATCCAATAAATTAGTCGGCCGGCTTCCCGTGGCTTACCCACGGAGAGCGTCTAATTAGCCGGGCGGCGCGGCGTCTCCTCGAAGTCGCGCGGAGTCGCCGGTAAAAATATTCGCATCCGCCGTTTCGCAATTTGCAGGATGTGCGTGACGGGCGGACGAACGAACGCACGCGTGAACGCACGTCCGCCGGTGCCGTGCGTGACCCGCCGGACAAACGCACAATATGCAATTTCGATAAGCGCCGCGAGAGTAGAGGCGACAATCGCTCGGCCGATCGACGAAATTGCGCGCGCGGCCGTTTAAACGCCCGTGGAAAGTGTCACGTGTGATCGGCTGATTGTTATAATTAGCGCGCGCGTTCCCGTTGGGCAGTACCAATTTTTCACGGCGTGATTACCTCCGGGTACAACACCGGACAGTTCGGAGCCGCCGCGACCTTGGCCCGAAAGTCTGTCTCACCGGTTATATTTATCCGACGGTGGTGTGCGTCCGCGCACATGGTGAGAGTTCGGTGTTGTGAGAGAAGGAGGAGAGAGGGAGAGAGAGAGAGAGAGAGGGAGGGAGGGAGAAACACGCTCTGGAAAAGACAGCAACCCATTTTGAGGCCCGCAATTAGTAATCGAATTATTCGGATTTTGTTCGTGATTCTACTCTGAGAAAAATTTTTACC